GTGCGTAGGCGGATGGGGTCCAGCGGTAGGATTAACATTTTATTTAGTGTTATTTAATGTTTTTTTTTACTATTTGGACTGCCCCCTTAGTGCATTCTTTGAGCCTTATTTTCAAAGGGACCGCGTTGAAAGGCGATGTGTGCGGTTTCTTTTCTCCTCCCGTCCACCCCTTCACTGCCACCCACGCGGAGGGGGCGGAGACTGTGGGGCTCTAAGCACTACCACCTCGCACGGGTATTCCGGCCTCTGTATTACACTGTGATATTTTTTTTTATTATTCGACACATGTTAAGAATAAAAAAACAAAAGCAATTGTCCAACGCATGTTGGATGAAGTTTCTTTGATGTAGAGTGTGTTGAGCAAATTGAACCAGGCTGTGACCTTCCAGTGTTGACCCTTCCCTCATTGTGGGAGCGTTGTGGTCAGCCTGACCAAGCTGGTGGAAACGTTTTTTTTTTTTTTCGAAGGATGTCTGTGCACGTGGCTGCTTTACTTATGAACAAGGCATAGCAGCTGGTGTTGGGTTGGCTCGTTTCTCCAGTAGGATTATTATTATTTTTATTTTTTTGACTGCTTGTGGGTGTTCCCTCGCACGGCGTTGGATGCTGTTGACGGAGCGCTCTTTCTCTCAGTGGTTGCCTCTGTGCGCAATCACTACACACATTTGCCTTCACCCTGTTCTATTTTTCTTCTAGGCCTTGTGAGCAACGACCGTGAGGACATTCTTCTCTGTGAAAGCGCAAAAATGGGCTACAGTACTGGTTTGTTTAACTGCCGTAGTGACTGCGGTACATGCTGTGATGTAATCTTCTGTTTTCCATGCAACCTCAGTCGCCAGTGCAATGCTGTTGACGGCAGAACTAACGAATGTGGCTGTTGCTTCTGTCTGGGGGCGTGTTTTCTTCCTGTCATTGCGGCATGTGTTCTTCGTCAGAAGGTCACAGCGAAGTATTCTCTGGGGGAGGGTTTGTGCTGTACGTGCCTGGCCGCCTGCTGCTGCACATGCTGCTCAGCCTGCCAGACGCATCACGAGCTCACACTCCGTGGCGCGTACCCTGGTGGCTGCTGCTGCCCACCAATCACTCGTTCAATGCGCTAGAGTGTGGTGCGTTGGCGTGGCTGGTGGTGTTTGACCTGAGAAGATATATCTACCCCATTAGTGGATTTTTTTGTTCTGTATTTGGGCATGGGAGGGTAATTTGAGCGGTATAGTAATCAATTTTAGTTTTTGGTGAGGTGCTATAATGAGAGTTTTTGTTGATGTTTTTCATTTTTGTGAGGTGTGCGTAGGCGGATGGGGTCCAGCGGAGGATAACATTTTATTAGTGTTATTAATGTTTTTTTTTACTATTTGGACTGCCCCCTTAGTGCATTCTTTGAGCCTTATTTTCAAAGGGACCGCGTTGAAAGGCGATGTGTGCGGTTTCTTTTCTCCTCCCGTCCACCCCTTCACTGCCACCCACGCGGAGGGGGCGGAGACTGTGGGGCTCTAAGCACTACCACCTCGCACGGGTATTCCGGCCTCTGTAATTACACTGTGATATTTTTTTTTATTATTCGACACATGTTAAGAATAAAAATAAACAAAAGCAGTTGTCCAACGCATGTTGGATGAAGTTTCTTTGATGTAGAGTGTGTTGAGCAAATTGAACCAGGCTGTGAATGTTTCGTTGTTTTTGAGTTCTCTCTACAGGAAAGAGTGATGATGTGTCGTCCAGGAAACCTTTTTTAATGGAAGCGATTGCGGTTTTATTATTATTATTA